TTTATGGGAGCAAGGAGAAGAAGATCAGTTTAGTTTTGCAAAAATGTGGTTAGGAAGCAATAGTGAAGGGAGTCTGTATTTCAGAGGGAAAACTTTGGCCTGACCTCCTCTTGAGAATGGAAAGATGAGTAGTTCATACCAGAGGCTATCAAGAAGCTTAAGGCTTAGAAAGTACCCAGATGATGCCAGGCAAGATGTGTGACATAATGGAGGTTTATACTATCTCTTTGAAATCTTACATCTAGAGAATTATTAACACCAAGGAAGAATGAGTAGAGATGAACTTGATTCAAAATGGGGGTGATGCATTCTGAATGTTCTTCATAGACTGTGATGACTCAGGGTGCTGTCTGGTGATAGCCAGGGTGGCTGCCTGGCACAGAGTAGGTTCACAGATGCTGTGAACACAGAGGTGTTTCCCAGTGACTGCAGCAATGGTGGTGGTCAGAAGATTGACCTCAGGCAGCAGAGCTCTTATGGTGGGCAAGTAAAAAATAAGTTTAGACTCCAGCAGATGAGAGATTCCACACCTGGCAGAGAGGTCCAGAATTATGAGCTCTGTTTGAAGACATTTTCTGGTGCTACTTACCTGCGAGATGGTGCTTTTTGTATGTTGTTCACCTTTATGGTGGTGGTGTTTTCTTCTTGGGGATTAAGAAAATCTTGGAGAGATTGTGAGTTACCTCCATTTTAAAAAATATATATCTAGGATGTGTTTTAACACCAGAGAGAAAGAAAAAGGAAGAAAGTAACACCCTGTGTGTCTTGCTAATATTCATTTCTTCCTCCTTTAGGGATTGGGCACAGATACACTGAGGCCTGCGTGTTTTTCAAGATACTAGGCCAGGGTTTCAAAGCACAGTGGGCCATATGGTATTTGTATCCCTTCATTACTAGTCTAAGCCAGCCCTAGATTGGCCTTGAGGGACTGAGTGATAAAGCTAAGGTTGTACCTAAGTTATATAGTTCAATTTCACACACCATGTCTGTGGAGCTCTTCATCCTGCTTCTTTTGAAAGATACTTTGTTGGGTTGCAGAAAAAATTACAGGCTTCTGAGTAGTTTGAATGTTTCTTCTGTTGAATTGCACAGAATGGCAGGATGTGGTGAGAATGAGGAGGCTTTTATTTTTACTTTTATATTTTGGTAGGAGCCTATTTATTTGCTTTGATAATTGAAGGACAGAAATGTAAGTAGATAAGATGCTTGGTTTTCTTGTTTGTTCATGTATTTGTTTATTTCATCTCTTCTAATGATACAGCTATGTAATATGCTCAATTTTCTAAGAATGGGGCCTTCTGCTAATTGCAGAGTAATGAGGTGAAGATTGTATTTCCTCATCTTTGAAATCACTTTACATAGGAAAAGCATTATAATTGAAATCTCATTATTATATGACTTTTTAGATTGGAATTGCCACTAGCTAAAACTTTCTTCTAATTCAGAATAGTAAAATGAAAAAGTAATTTGTGTTCATAGTGACAGATAATGTGTGACTGCTACAAATGCTTTGGGTTACTTCAATTTTATGTAGTTTTCTCAATAAACTTTGTATTACTTTCCTCTCCTTTTAGTTAATTTACAAGAAATTTCTAAGAAGATTAGTAATGAGAAGAACGAAAACAAAGAACTTATAGAAAATATATCCATTTGGAAAGAGAAGGTATCATTTTTTTTTCTCCATAAAATTTTTGCAATGGTTTCATGTTGTATTTCTTTCACCTCTGGTAGTTCAATTTTTTTGATACTTATATCTCTTCATTTTATCTGGTCCTTATTTCATATGTTCTTTAAGTTACCCACATTTATAGTACTCCTCACATGTGGAAAACTATTTATTTATTTATTTATTTTTGAGAAAGGTTTTAGCTATAGGGTGCATGCGCTCACCAGACAGACAGAGAGAGGCATAGAGACAGAAAGCGAGAAATCACCCCCCCAGGGGGGATGGTCACGCTGCAATCCCTTCTCCTCCATTCTCCTCTCGGGATCTTGGGCACACATGTACATGCGCCCGGCGTGAGTTTTAAGCCACCGGGTCTGGGACGTGAACCACGGTCAACTACGTGGGAGTCCAGCGACATAGCCATTACGCTAACTTCTGGTTCCTGAAAACTATTTATATTTGTATGTAGAAGGTCACATTTTTGAAAATTGACTTTGTAAGCACTTCAGTTTATCTTCTGAATTCTAATTCTTATATATTTATGTAGATCTATGAATTCAAAACATTGCTTCAAGAAAATAAGCATCTCTGATGAATTATATTTATTTTATATTTAAGATACTTCCTCCAGCCACATACATGTTTTAGAAAGGAGGCAGTGAACATTATATCCTGAAAATAGAAGTAAAAGAAATGAGTAAATGTTTCTGATTCCATACATTTGTTGAAGGACAACATCCAAAGATTTGAAGAAACTATGGAACCTGTGAATGACATTCAAAGTATACATTGTAGATTGCAAAGTGAGAGTGCCGGAAATGTAAAGACTCAGGGCTTAGAGTTTGACTGCTCCATTTTATTCTAGTTTGCCTTCTGAGCCTTTATGTCTATGTGTTGTGTGATATGAGGGCTGCATTTTCTCTTGTTGTTGACGATAGTCAACATGGGGGAGTCTGAGGGCCAATCCTCCTCCTGAAGTGTATTGGGCAACTGATGTACTAATAGCAAAATGACTTTTTATATTTAAGGGGCTAGGAAGTATGTTTTATTTTTTTTTAAATTGGGTGATAATCATGCTATTCAACACTGCCCTCCAATACCTAGACAAACTGAAAAAAAAAGTGAGAGATAAGAGACAGTGTGTAGCCAAGTTGAATAGTCTGTACCTCTCTTAATGTGGAACTGATGATTTTCAATGTGAAGTTTAGGTTACTTTTTCTAAAATTATTCCATTAAGTAAACCATTTCTCTTAGTTTTTATCTTGAAATGTTTTCTGTTTTCACTATTGGCAGAGGGCATGTGTGCTAGGCAGAGAGATTTAAAAAAACACCCCCCAGTGGGGCAGAGTTGAGCCACAGTCTTCCCCCCCATTTCTCTATTCCAATAGGATACACATACACACACACACACACACACACACACACACACACACCCAA